TTGTCGGTCGTTGGGCTTGAACTCTGGGTCTGGATACTGTCCCTAAGCTCTTCAGCTCAAGGCTAGCACTCTACCACTTGAGCCACAGTGCCACTTCCAGTTTTTCGGTAGTTAACTGGCAATAAGAGTCTCATGGACTTTCCTGCCCAGGCTGGCTTTGAACCTTGATCCTCAGATCTCAGCCTCCTGAGTAGCTATAATTACAGGTGTAAGCCACCGGAGCCCGCCTCAGAGAATATTTATTGAGTATGTGCTGTACAAGAGGACAGCTTAGTGGCTGGGTATACAATAGGGGAGAAAGCCAACAAAGTTCTTTGGTTATAGCCTGCTGATGATGCTGGGACTGATTAACTTGGACTCTGTTGATATAAGCTAATTTCTGAGCCTCTTAAACTATAAGGAAAATCATAGGTTGAACAGCCTTATTGAACCAGGAGCAGAATCTTAGATCTGAGAAGGGAAGTGCAGTAGGATGGAGGATATAGGTAAGAATGATGAGGTGAAGTATTAATGCTACTCAAAGGACTAGGAAAGTGGTTAAAGCTGAAGGCAGACCTCCAGCATCAAAACTTCTTTATCTGGTATTGAGGCTTGAAGCAGGCTTTATTCTTGTTAAGGATGGTCCTATAACAAGTCCTTCCCCTTCTCTAGTATCAAAGCTTATAAAGTCACAATTACTATCCATTACTCTCAAGTTCCTACAAAGCCAAAATAATCAGATGATACTGTGGGAAAATAAACCTTCATTTGGTCTTCCATCCCAGGTGGCTGGCACAAGAGCTTCTAAAATCAGCGTGATATGGCCATTTTTTATATGCTGACCAGATGATTCATGGCTGGAGGCCCTTAAATGGTTTCAGGATGGGAGCTAGTTTCCAGAATGCCCAAGGCATGATTGAGAGCTGTAACTTGTAGTCCCCACAAGACTTCTGGGAAGGAAGGGGCTAATTATTTAATCAATCGTGCATATATCTCCATGAAATCTCCATGAAATCCAGAACAAAGGGACTTTCGGGCTATGAACATATCCACATGCTAGGAGGTGATGTCCTCCAATGCCACAGGGAGAGAACCTGAAATCCATCTGGGCCTTTGCCCCGTGCATCTCTTCATCTGGCTGTTCATCTGTATCCTTTATAGTAAAAGAGCAACAGCTAAGTAAAGGAAAGTTATTGAACCTGGGGAAGGGTCATGATTTCAAACCAAATCCGAAAGAAATGTGGCTAACCTGACTTGTTACTTTTAACTGGCATCTGAAGTGTGCACCATCTTATGAGATGAACCCTTATCTTGAGTGTGGGCTTATGTTTACATAGTGTCAGAATGAGTTAAACTGCAGGACTTCCAATTGCTATCTGCAATGAACTGGAGGATGGTTTGTTGTGAGAACCCCAGTGCCTGGGTATTGGGAGTGTTCTATGGGTAGAATCCTAGTAGAAACTAGTAAATCCCTGAAAAGAAGCAAGAAGGTGGGCTATGTGAAAAGTCCTCTAGAATGGATTTATAAAGCCTGTTTGGGGAAGCACGTCTAATAGAATCTTCGCTTAAAAAGTCTTTTGTAACTGTTTTATCATACACTTAATACATTTTGAGAGGAAAGAAATGAAAGCTATACTCACCAGAATCTAGGAGGAAGAAAGGTAACAAATTAACTCTATTAAATATTCTTTTTCCCTCTCTTGCTCAGCAATGACAGGGATTAAAGGAGACTGTTTAGCTCTAGAGATTTATCATCTTTTCAGCTGAACTAGTGAAAAATGGGTTACACAGTCATTCAGTCTAAAGGGAAGCCTCAGCGCTGGGCTTCAGGTGAATCCAGTGTAAGCCTATGAGGTTGACAGCTGTTTCTACCTAGTGCAGCAACATCTCTTCCATCACACCATGGTAGGGAAAGCTGAGGGCAAAGTACTCTGCACCCATTCTTGCTATGGGTAGTCCCAGGAGACTGTGAGAGCATGCGCTCAGGGCCTTAGCCATGGAAAATCCCTATGACACACACAAGGGGCTCACTAGGGACAGAGGTTAGCAGCAGTCTAGCTTCTCGTTTTGCCAACTTTAAGAGGATGATGACCTCACACAGAATGAAAGGGCATTTGGTCAAATACATTGTTTTCTCAAGGCTAATTTTAAACTGGGCTGAGAAATAATGTCAGTGGAGGTAATTCCTATTTCTTTTCTTTCTTTCTTTTTTTTTGGGGGGGGGGGGGGCCGGTCATGGGGCCTGAACTCTGGGCCTGGCCGCTGTCCCTCAGCTCTTCAGCTCAAGGCTAGTACTCTACCACTTGAGCCACAGCACCACTTCCGGCATTTTCCTTTTTTTGCTTATGTGGTGCTGAGGAATCAAACCCAGGGCCTCACGCATGCAAGGCAAGCACTCTACCACTGAGCCAACTTCCCAGCCCAAGGTAATTCCTATTTCTTGGATCACATTATTCTACAAGTTTTTTGTTTTTGTTTTTTGTCAATTGTGGGGCTTGAACTGTAGGCCTGGGCACCTGTCCCTGAGCTCTTCAGCTCAAGGCTAGCACTCGACCACTGGAGCCACTTCCGGTTTTCTGAGTGGTTTATTGGAGATAAGAGTCTCATTAGCTTTCATGCTCAGGCTGGCTTTGAACTGTGATCCTCAGATCTCAGCCTCCTGAGTAGCTAGGATCACAGGCATGAGCCGCCAGTGTCCCCGACCCCAGTTTTTTTTAAATAAGTTTTTTATTGTGAAAATACTATACAGAGGGATTTCAATCACATGAGCAAGGTAATGAGTACATTTCTTATCAAGCATTGTTGCCTCCTCCTTTGCTTTTCCCCTACCATCCCTTCCCTCCCATCTCTACAACTACATTCCCCCCCAAAAAACATTTTTTTAAAAAATGTCTATAAGAAGAGTTACTGCTATGAAATATGGAGGGCATTGGTTCTCTACTGAAAGGTCTCAGGTAGGATGGAAGGCGTTTCCAATTTGTGTGGATGCACAAAGATTGAGTTATACATTCAGAGAGATCAAGAGATGTTGTCCGGGAGACTGTTGAAGTTCCCAGTAAGTGGTTTCATCTGTCAAGTCCATCCCTGGAGTATAGGGATGAAGAAAGAGGAGGGCAGAGGTGGCTGGCAGTTAAGTGGCTGGGATCAGGAGGAGGCCCACTGAATGTGGACAGAGGAGATTGTCAGGCAAGTGGTTGGAAGAAGGGAGGAGGAAAGATGAGTGGTCTTTTCTTTTTCCTTTTAACCTACTCACTCATTCTACTTGTGGGAGACATTACTAAACATCTGCTTCTATGCTACTTCTAAACAAACTGGAAAATTATGGTTCCCAGCCCCCTCAGAGTTAAGTGTGGTCTTGTGATGTGCTTTAGTGAATGAAATGGAGGAGAAGTGATTTGCATCACTTCCTGGTGGGAGCATTTAAAGGCTGGGCTTTGTCTTCTATCCTGATGATACAGAAGGGCAATAGATTAAAGAGACAGAAAGGAACTATATGAGCCAGAGAACAACCAAACAAAACCAACAGTGGTATATTAAACAGTTGTGGAGATTTCTGGGCAGATCCTATTAACCCGCTCCATTTCTCTCTCTGCTCCCACCCTTTTTTTTTTGATTTTTTAATTTTTTTTTGTGAACATACTGTACAGAGGGGTTACAATTACATGGGCAGGATAATGCGTACATTTCTTATCAAGCATTGCAGCCTCCTCCTTTGTTTACCCTTCACATCCCTTCCCTACCTTCCCCCTACCACCCCCCACCCAATCCTCCCCCCCTTCCCCCCCTGCTCTCACCCTTTTTTAGCTCTTTCCTGCACCACCAGCACCCAGCTTAAGGACAGTGTTTTATATTCCTATTTTTTTCTTTTTTGGCCAGTCGTGGGGCTTGAACTCGGCCTGGGTGATGGCCCTAACCTTCTTTTGCTTTAGGATAGTATTCTATCACTTGAGCCACACTTCCACTTTTGGCTTTTTTGGTAGCTTACTGAAAATAAGCCACCAAAATAAATGAATAAATAAAAGCCTAGGCTGGCTTCAAACTGCAATCCTCAGATCATAGCCTCGTGAGGTGCAAGAATTACAGGTGTGAGCCACTAGTGCCAGGCTTATATTCCTATTCTTAATAAAAAGAAATTAATAGATTTGTTCTGTAAAAAATAAGTTAATTTTTGAATTCAACTTTTCTTACTTTGCTTTTGCTTGTGTGAAATTGTATGCTTTGCAAACTTTATTAGAGCACATTAAAAACGAGGTTACAAAGTCAGGAGCTGGTGGCTCATGCCTGTAATCCTAGCTACTCAGGAAGCTGAGATCTGAGGATCGAAGCCAAACCAGGCAGGAAAGTTCATGAGACTCTTGTCTCCAATTAACTACTGGAAAACTGGAAGTAGAGCTGTGGCTCAAAGTGGTAGAACACTAGCCTTTAGCAAAAGAGCTCAGGGACAGTGCCCAGGCACTGAGTTCTAGCCCATAAACAACAGAAAAAAAAAGTTGCAATTATGGATAGTAACCTCATTTAATTTTCTTGTGTGGGCTAGAGGCTATTAGAAAAAAATATTAACTTTCCCCAAACACCATGCAATAATAGCCATGCAGCTCAGGGCACCCCAAGTTCTCCCTGGATCAAGCTCTGAGCAGGTTTGAAGGGTCTCTTAGCTGTTCTCAGCAGCTTTGAGAAAGTTACTTGTTTTCATGCACATCCATTCATGGCATCACATTTAGACCTGAGATAACCCCCACCACCCTGATTGTTGTTTTAAGCAATTAAGGTTGCTCCAGACACAAAACAGCAGAAAATGAAAAAGCAGAAAAATGCAATAGTAGCCCAATGAATCATGCATATTTTAAAAAATTCAGTAAGTTCTGCTTTCAAGTAAACATGCTCCATTAGGTAAGTATGACCCAGACTTTTAGGCCATTGTACACTATGGAGGGAACTGCTGAAGGGTGTACACGTATCTGATTCATCAGAGAGGATGTGGTGTAGGGAGGCGAAGGGGAAGGTAGGGGACATTTATATGAGGAACACAAGAGCATGCCAAAGAGATCAGGGGAGACTTGAAGTCCACTTACTGCCTGCTTTTGCTCTTCCTCCTAGAGGTGTTGAAGATGAAAAAAAGGCAGAGGAGAGAAATTAATGTCCATTACCACACATGCTGGGAAGAAATGGTGGAAGGAATCAGGTAACCCAGGCTAGGAGAACATTTGGGACACAGCAATTGGCAGGCCTCTGCCCAGCCAATGCTAACTAGAGGCAACAGGAAAGAACCTTAGAAACCATCTAGTCTGACTTCCTCTTTCGCAGAAGAACGAAGCCTCAAGAGCCTGGCTTGCCTACTATCACAAATACTTAGATAAACTGAAAGAGGAAGTTGAGGCATGATTTAAATTTCTAATTATTATTTACCATTCAGAAGGTTCACTGTATTTAGGTTCATTTATTTAGGCCATCTGTCCTCAAAGTGAGTCGTATAGATCAGCAGTATCAGCATCAGCATTATCCGGGAACTTGTCAGAGATGGAAATTTCAGGTTCCACCTTTAGGCCCACTGAATCAAAAGCTCTAGGAAGGTGGCTCCCCAAACATATGCCAAGAGCTTCCAGCCTTCCTTTGACAACTTGTTCTAACCTCCACCTGGTCATGGGATCTTTTCTAGTCTATTCTCCCAACTACTTGGCTGCTTTGTTTTTTTCCAAGGATGCACACATATACCCAATTCTCCCAATAAACTGGAGATATTTTGGGACTCTGTAAGGCCTTTCAAAAAAGCATTTCCTAGCTGGGTGTGGTGGTATACATCAAGCACTGGGAAGCCTGAAGTGGGAGAATCTTGAGTTCCAGGGCAGGCCAACCTACGGCACTGTGACACCCTGCCTCAAATAAAAAAACCCAAACCAAATCAAATCAAACCAAACCAAACCAAACCAATAACAGAAGTGATTCCATGATAGGCGCCAGTGGCTCATGTCTGGAATCCTAGCTACTCAGGAGGCTGAGACCTGAAGATTGAGGTTCGAAGCTAGCCCTGGCAGTGAAGTCCCCATGAGTCTCTTGTCTCCAATTAACCACTCAAATGTTAGAGTGGTGTTGTGGCTCAAATGATAGAGCGCTAATCTTGAGCACAAAGAGACTCAGGGACAGTGCCCAGGCCCTGAGTTCAAGCCCCACAACTGACAAAAAAAAACCCAAAGTATTTCCCAAACTTCATTTACATAACACAGTCTACTCACTAATTCTTATGCACAAGGCACTGACTAGAAACAAAAATGAGTTTCTGCTTTCTAGAGCCTTACGGTGAGTGTAGGCAGACCCAATCTTTGCTATGTACAGCTGACTGAGCAGATGAATGCGCCATCAGACATGGTAGAAAAACTCCAGAGGAGAACATAAACACTAAAGTTTCTCACTCTTAGATCTTTGCGTCTTGATCACTGTTTTTTCTTTAATACTGGTGTTTGAACTCTAGCCTTGTGCTTGCTAGCCAAATGATTTTCCACTTGATCCTATTGCTTTTTAGTATTTTCAGACAGGGTGTCTTGCTTACAAACAGGTAGGCTTGGGACCTCAATCCTACTTCCTCTTCCCCAAAGTAGCTGGGATTATAAACATTATGTACCTCGCCCATCTCATTCTTTAATGGGTCTCTTCACTTCTTCTTTTTGTGCTGCCTTATGGGTGACTGTGGTCAGGAAGCCTCTGCTCTATCCCAGTATGTAAATGTCAACTTAGTTGCAAGGGTTCAGTTAAAATTGGATCCATGCATGCAGATGGTCCCTGCTGAGCATAGGTCTGAGGACTTAGGCTGGATATGGGTCCTTCTCTCATGGGGTTTGCAGCTCTGAATAAAAGGACACTGACCAGGGAAGACCAAAGGAAATGCAGAATGGAGAGGGCTGGGAAAATAGCTTTCAGTCCTGCAATTGGAGAGACATGGGCTAGAATTTAAATGAGCACCAAGAGATCCCTTGAGGAGACTCTGGCTCAGCCCAGGAATGTGTTCTTCATTATGAAGGCCAGCTGCCAGTGACTGAGGCAACCTCACCCCTAGGGGTCAGGCATAGGCTCTTGGCATCCACTCAAGTCAGCCTGAAGAAGTCAGCAGCTTTTGCCTTTCGATCTTGGCAGCATGGCTCTGGGCAGGAGGTGTTAGTGCTGCAGTTACAAGGCATCTTCCTTCTCGAGCAGACTTTGCTTTGGGGCTGGACACTCCTAACACTCGTGAGGCAGATACAGCTACAGGAAAACTACTAAATGCTTTATAAATGTGTTTTTGTTGAATATGGTGGTTAACACTTATAATCTCAGCTACTCAGGAGGAAGAGGTCTGGAGAATCACAGTTTGAGGGTAACCTGCACAAAAAGTTAGTGCTTTCAGTAGAAAAACAGGGTGTGGTTGTAATTAGACACAAAGCCTTGAGTTCAAACTCCAACACCACCAAAAAAAAAAGAAAAAAAAAAAGAAAAAAACCCAGAAAGCAAACAATGTGTTTTCAATGTTGGCCCTAAGCTGGAATGGAAATTGAGATGGTGGTGTTGTAAGGAAACTTGCTTGTGAGAAACTGAGAAGTCACCAGTTAAAAGGCCAAATTACGAGTCTTTACTGGTGAGCCCAAGGACTGCTGGTGGACCCATGTCTCAAAGACCAGCAGCCCCGAAACAGCAAGCACAAAGCTTATATAGGCCAAAACCACATAAGGTATGTGGAATTAAACCTAACAAAAATGTTATACATAAGCAAAGCAAACCAGATGAAGACACTTAAAACTAATAGAAAAGCAAACCATCTAGGGAAACAAACAGGGGAAATCAAGGGCCAAGGGGAAATCAAGTAAGGAGACTCAGTCTCCTTACTTCAGTGGTTCAGGACAGGTGGTCCTCACAGGCCAAAATCTTGTCTGAGGACAGCAGATCAGCAATGGCTTAGAACTAAGACATTTCCCGAATCCATGGTTCCAACCCTAGTGTTGGTACTGGAGATAACACTGTTTTGCTTAATAGACTAGGGAAATTTCAGAAAGCAATGTTTGACATTGCTTGCACGGGGGCTGATACTGCATGGAACTCGGTCCCAGGACGTGAAGTATGCTGTGAGGCATATGCAGGTCAGGTGAGGATGGGCTTGGGAAGGTAGACTTCGGTGAAGTGTCGCCTAGGATGATGCTATGCAACTGAAATGCACAAAGGTCTTTCAGATAAAGTCTTTAAGGCTCTGTCAACATAGTAGTCAGATACAAGGTTTTAGAATACTTTGTTATCACTTAGTCAGCTGGGGCCAGCAAACACTGTTTGATGATAAAAGACAAGAGCTTGATTTAAAGGGGGTCATATAGCTTAATTATAAAGTGCAAACCTAAAAGTATCAAGGTCACCTAAAAACATGTGAATCTCTTCACAGGTAAAGATGAATCTCTTGGCTAGGTGAATCTCTTCACAGGTAAAGATGAATCTCTTGGCTAGGTAGCCAAAGTAATACTAAATGTCCTCTATACAAAAATTTACATTCTAACTCTAGGTGAACATTTGAAAATATAGCTGAAATTGAAAACTGTTTTTCAAAAGCAGTATCCAGCCAGGCCTGATGGTATACACCTATAATCTCAGTACTCAGGAGGCTGAGGCAAGAGGTTATGAATTCTAGGACAGCCTGATTTCAAAAACAAAACAAAAACCATTTCACTCCAAACCAGAAACAGCAGCAACACAGAAAATTAAGCAAATTAACCCATAAGCAGTATCAGAAAACTGAAAAAAATAAAGTGGAATAGGCCAAGAGCAAGAGTCAGAAACTGAAATACCAACACATACCATTTCTAGATTAAATAAGATATTTGAGGCAGAGGTTATCTTCATACTCATTAATCAGAAGACAAAACATAAGGAAAACTGTGTGTAAAAACATGGATACCCGATATTAAATCATTAAAAGAAGGACCCTTGGTGACAGGCACCAAGTCTCATCACCACTGTTCACCAAACACTGAAAAAAACACTAGGATATTAGTTTTTACCTGCCTTGTTAAAAAAAGAAAGACTGAGTGAATTAATAAACAATGGGGGCACTTCCTATATATACTTATTTAAATTACTTTTTTCAGATAAAAAGATAAAGCACTTATATTTTACAGAAGCAGGGAGGTGGACTAAACTACCTCCCCATGAAATGGAAATTGACTGTGTGATGGGTTTTAATTTATGAGCCTCCCAGACCATGTGGCCTGATTGTCCATTTGACTAACTGCTTACAGCTGTTTTATGAGGGAACTAAATGCTAGCAGACTGAACACATCAATGAAAGACAGTCCTTTGAAATTAAAATTAGAATTTTAAAGAGTACTTTTATTACAGCAAATATATTCTTTCCTTTTTTTGTGGTATGAGGCCAGTTGAGCTAAACCTTCAACTCTTTTGTTTTTATTTTATTTTGTTTCTATTTTACTTATTGTGCTGGTACTGGTGTTTGAACTCAGGGCCTGGGTGCTGTTCCTTAGCTTTCATCCTCAAGGGTGGTACTCTACCACTTGAGTTACAGCTCCACTTCTGGCTATTTGGTGGCTAACTAGAGATTAGTCTCACAAACTGTCCTGTCTAGGCTGGCTTTCAATCACCATCCTCAGATCTCAGCCTCCTGAGTAGCTAGGATTACAGGTGTGAGCCACCAGTGCTTGGCTTCATTTGATTTTCCAGACAAGGTCACATCTCCCTAACTTTGGGGCTGGCTTCAAACTGAGAATCGTCCTGCCTCAACATCCAAAATAGCTGTGATTATAGATGTGTGCCACAACACTTAGCAGAAAATGTACTTTCTGGTGGCACTGGGGTTCAAACTTAGGAGCTCACAATGGCTCAGCTTAGCTTGTTTGTTTGGTGCTCTACCATTTGAGCCATACCTGCACCATGGCTTTTTTGTTGGTTACTCTGGAGATGGATTCTCGAAGACTTTTCTACTTGGCATGGCTTTAAATGTAATCTTCTAGATCTTGGCTTCCCAAGTAGCAAGAAGTATAAGTGTAAGCCACTAGCACTTGGCTAAATGTACTTTTTAATACTTTTGAAACTTTAGTGGAAGTTACTGATTCCCATGTATAACTATTTAGAATTGTATATAATACACTAAGATTTTGCTGTAATTTTAGTTTTTTAGGAAAACAAGACACTTAAGGACATCAGATTTTCTGCCATGAATTCTATTCAGTAGATAAAAAGAACTTTTCAATGCTTGTGTTTGCAAATACTTCCCAGTCTGAATGGCTACAGTCTGTCAGGTAAACAAATGACAAGGTATTTAAGAACTTGGCAGGAGCCACATGCCGGTGGCTCATGCCTATATAATCCTACTTAGGTGATCATGAGGATCATGGTTTGGAGCCAGCCTGGGCAGAAAAGTCCTCAAAACTCCTTTTCGGGGGCTGGCAAGGTAGCTCAGTGGTAGAGTGCTTGCCTAGCATGCATGAGGCCTGGGTTCAATTCCTCAGAACCACATAAACAGAAAGAGCCGGAAGTGGCTCTGTGGCTCAAGTGGTAGGGCACTAGCCTTGAGCTAAAGAGCTGAGGGATAGTGCCCAGGCCCAGAGTTCAAGCCCTATGACTGACCAAAAAAACAAAAACAAAACAAAACAAAACCTCCTTTTCCACTTAAACAGCAAAAAGCCTAACTGGTGGCTTGGCTCAAGGGATAGAGTGCATGCTGCTGAAAAGAAAAAGAAAGAAAAAAGAGAAAAAACAAAACAAAACAAAACTTGGCGGGAGACCCTACAAATGGGGTTCCGAGGTTTTGTTTATAAAGTATAAAGAAACAGCTAAAAATTTAAAGAAGTTTGAGGTATGGGTTAGCACTCCAGGGACTAACTCATTCTGAGTAGGCCTTGAAAACAAGCATGGAGGGCTGGGAAGGTGGCTCCGTGGTAGAGCGCTTGCCTTGCATGCATGAGGCTCTGGGTTTAATTCCTCAGCACCATATAAACAGAAAAAGCTCGAAGTGGTGCTGTGGCTCAAGTGGTAGGGCGCTAGCCTTGAGCTGAAGAGCTGAGGGACAGTGCGCAGGCCCAGAGTTCAATCCTACAACCAACAACAAAAAAAAGAAAACAAACATGGATGGTACCCAAGGTTACGGGGTACATGTGAGCAAGGCAGAACAATCCAACTGAAGGGGAGATGGACCGTGATGATTAGGGGAGCTGCACCCCTACATCCTTTCAACTTGCAGAAACCTTTTATATAAATCATAGCCGAGCACCTTATCATCCCATGAAATGTTTCTGAAGGTAAATCCTCCTAACAGGGTCAATGCAGGAACACATGTAAAACAAAACAACCCAAATACCAGGACCAAGTGAGGGGGAAAAAAATCTCAGCTCAAGCCTAAAACACAAGAAAATCAATTATTTTGAGCAAGTCAAAAGTTCATCTAAAACACAAGGGTGACATTTAGGCAAGTTGCCAGTATCCACTAACTTCATTATTAAGAGGCTGCTCTAGGATGCAGAAGCTGAAAAGTTCCCACATTGCTACTCTTGTCACCTTCAGCCTGGCTGACTACATGTATCTCCTCTTATCCTTTAGTCTCATCATCCCTTTCTATCCTGTCCCGAGTACTGTTTTAAACTTAAGCTTTCAATGAATCATGGCATTAAGTTCACTCCCCTTGGACCCTCTCTCTGCTCACTGTGGGTCTCCAGCATTTATAGACAGGACTTGAGACATTAACAGGAGGAGCACATGACTTGTTATCACTTCTGTGTAACCAGGGAAGGATTTCTGCTCAGTGCCAATAAAATTGTCCAGGTGAGGGCACTGAAATGTCAACCATACCTTTCTCTGCTTTATACTTTTCAACAAATATAGAAATATTTAAGCTGGCCGCCGGTGGCTCATGCCTGTAATCCTAGCTACTCAGGAGGCTGAGAGCTGAGGATCACAGTTCAAAGCCAGCCTGGGCAGAAAAGTCCATGAGACTCTGATCTCCAATAAACCACTAGAAAACTGGAAGTGGCACTGTGGCTCAAGTGGTAGAGTGCTCACCTTGAGCTGAAGAGTGCAGGGACAGCGCCCAGGCCCAGAGTTCAAGCCCCACGACCAACCAAAAAAAAAAAAATTAAATTATTCTGAATTTATCCATGACACTAGTGTACTAAACCTAAAGCTAATGCACAATTTTATTCCAAGTAAGTACTTAGAATTGTTTGGTTACATTGGTGTGTATGTGGGAGGGGTGGTGGTGGTTACTTTTATATGTCAACTTGATTGAGTTAAGGGATGTCTAGAAAACTAGTTAAACTTTATTTCCAGGTGTGTCTTGAGAGTGTTTCCAGAAGAGATCAGCTTTGGAATCAGTAGACTAAAGAAGAACTGCTTTCACCAAAATGGGCAGACATCCAGCCCATTGAGGATCTGAATAGATTAAAAAAAACAAGTATGCTCTCTTCTGGTGAGGGAACATTGATCTCTTCCTGCACTTGGACAGAGGAAATGTCCTGGTTTTTTGTGTCAACAGCTGAATGTCCATGCCCCTGACTCACTCTGTGCAGTGGGAGTGTCACACAGACGCATGTTGGACTGTACCACTGGTTCTCCTGGGTCTCCAGCTAGCCCATTCCAGGACTTCTCTGCCTCTATAATCCCCATAAAAGGTCCTTTAATATAATTCTACATATCCTCTATTGATTCTGTTTCTCTGAAAACACGCCAAGTTTACCTCTGTTGTACTTATTAAAGTAGGACGCTTGATGTTTGTTAAATTTTTGGTGCAATACCTAAAAATTTATCTTAAAAGAACCTAAGTAGTTGAGAAATACTGCTCATTTATACAAACCTAATAACGTTTGTAAAAATAAACATCTTTTTTATAAAAGCAACTCCTCAAGAACATCACTCTATTTCTACTACACATTTATTATTATCAGCCTCAATGACTTTTTTTTGTTTTTTTGTTTTTTTTAATGCTTATTTTCTTTTTTTTATTGTAAAGATACTATACAGAGGGTTACAGTTACATGAGCAAGGTAATGAGTACACTTTCTACTGAACATTGTTACCCCCTCCATTGTTTTCCCCCTACCATCCCTTCCCTCCCTACCTTCCCCGAGATTCTTTTTTTTGTTTTTTTGATTGTGATTAAGTGATTACATAATTTCCCGAATTTTACAGTATTGTGGAATAATGATGCTCATTTAAAGTCACAAGTTCATTCTAACTTTCCTGGAGCAAATTGTCTATCACAGTCTATAACATATAACGGTGTTCACATGTTATACACCATACATGTGATCAGCAGCATGGGGATATTTAGTAGTGGTTCGACCAGATGAGTGGGAGTTCTTTGTTTCTTAAGTCCTGTTAGTTTTGTCATATCATCTAACATTTTGGATTTAGCATCCACTTATCAGGGAGACCGTGTACCGTTTGTCTCTTTGCTCTTGGCTTACCTCGCTCAACATGATTCCTTCTAGCTCCATCCATTTCCCTGCAAATGCCATTATTTTGTCATTTCTAATGGCTGCATAATATTCCATTGTGTATAGATACCACAATTTTTGGATCCATTCATCTGTGGTGGGGCATCTGGGTTGTTTCCATATCCTAGCTATTGTGAACAGCTCAATGACTTTTATACCTAAGTAGGCTACATTTACAGAGACTGGTTCCAAACCTACAGTCAAGACTGTCCTCATACTGTTGTGACTCCACCAGGAAGCAGGAGCTGAGGCTGTGATGGAGATGAAGGAGAGGTGGGGGAGGGGAGGACACCAGTAATCACTCCACTCTTACCTTGAGCAGCTTCATCAGCCCCTCCAGCTGGACCATCAGCTCCCGCCTGCTCTCCTGCAGTGCCGACATCCTCTGCTCCAGTTCATCTTTCCTCTGCCTGTCCAAGAGAGAAGCCCGTCAGAAACAAAGCTTCACTGTGTTGTATTGGCTGGAAATGGGCAGTTCCACACAAACTGGTCAGAATCAGATGGGGGTCAAATACCTACAAGTGGTATTGTATGTGCCATTTGATAAACAAAAGTTCTTAATATTAATGTAGGTAAGGTTACCAGTTTCTTTCAGGGTTAGCAATTTAAGGAATTATTTTTCTATTTCAAAATCCTAAAGAAATTCTTCTGGGAAGTTTGAAAGTTTTGTTTAACCCATCAAAGAACATGCCAGGTTGCAAAGCCTGTTTGGCAAAGCTGTTTCCTTTCCTCAGGATATGGAAGCTCCTGAAGGTGACCACTTTCTGCTTTCTCAAGCTTACATCCCCCTTGGACTTAAAACTCCTGCTTCTTGTTGACATCTCTGGACTCTGCCTTGTGCCAACTAAATAAATATATGATACTTTTCAGATCCTTCTAGATTATCTGGGCACTTTCTGCAACTTTAGTTCTATCAACAGTTAGACTCCAGGCTGACAGTTTCTGCTTTCCTAGATATAAAAAGGCACTTGTGTCTGAGCTGAGTGGGGAAGGAAAGGACATGTATCTTATAGTGCCAGTCCACTATTTGTGTATTTTCTTGTCTTTCTTAAGATAACATCAACCACACCAATGACCCAAATGTGTGACCGTGAACCGTAGAGCAACTAAAATTTCAGCCCAACTAAACGTAAACGGAGAACCTGGAATTAGTGTTTAGGAGAATCTCTATACCTCCAATGATTTTCATGAGTTTAAATACTTATTAGTGATATAAACCTAAAAAGTAGGATACTTATGGAAAATAGTAATCTCTGGTCTATAAGAAAAGAGATCATGGCTGAGGTTATATAACTTAAACAAAGAAAGCTGAAAAAGAAGAAAGGAAAAGCAACTGTGTCCAGCTATGCAGAAGTATTAAAAAGCAACTGCAACACCACCAAGCACTGTGTGGGTATTTAGAGCTTTGGTGAGAATCAAGCCACCAAGCGTGTCTTCCACGGTACCTTTACTTACCAAGAGTAGACAGGTGTGTGCGGGATGGACAGGAAGCAAGGGCCTAAGAGCAGATCAGCTTCCCCAGCAACTTCCAAAGGGCTTCACACTGGAGCTGACCCTGCTCTGCCTCCTCAGTTTCCTGAGCCTTGAGTCATTTTATACTTAAGAAGAGGTAGAAAACTACCACTGTCTTGGTTTCAAGTTGTAGAGGGGGTGGGGAAAGAAGCAGCACACTTTTCCAGTGAAGTCCTGCTCGGTCCATGAAGCACCAAGAGAATTGACTCCCAGGAAAGGCCAAGCACTATTCCTGTTGGGTCTCTAAGTCAGAACACTTAGCAAGAGCAGAAGAATTGCAGCACAACAACCTTCTTCAAACACTTATCACTGGTTTTGAGGGAGCAAGGAATTTTCTTAGCTCTGTCCTGCTGGCCCAAGTTCTCAGTGGGATTGAAGCTGAGGCTCTTAAAAGCAGTCAAACTGGACTGGCAACATTCATCTATGAGTTGGTATCCAGAGACTGAAATTTCCTCTGCAGATGACAGTGTGGGGACAGAGTGGGGACAGATGTGCAGCAGTACCACCTACCTCAGCAGCCGCAGCTCTGCCAGCAGCGTGGGGTTCTGCTGGGCCTTCTCGGGCGTGGGCTGGGACGCCTGCTCGTGCTCCAGACGCAGACGCTGGATCTCCTGCAGGATCTCTCTAGAGAGAATGATGAAAGAAAGATGGCTGCCCGGCAATTCACAGACCTCACTCTTCTTCCTTTACAGGTTAATTCCCTCACCATGCCTCCTCTGCAAACCTTATCTGGATCACTGCTAAATGACCAAAGTGTGAAATGGACAAAAAGGCATAACTCTTTTGTCTTGAAAAATCCCCAGGAAAGGAGAAAGATAACTTGAATACCTTCTTTGTCTCGCCCCTCTCTGAGGAGAGGAAGAGAACTCCTTGCAGCTGCAGCCTTTGAGGACAGGTCCTGGGCTGACCTGCCTTGAGTCTCCTTGCATCTCCCTGAGTTTCCTAGTTTTCCCTGGACCACAGGCCAATTTCCTCTCTCATGCAGGCTACACTAGGTCCATTCTCCTTGTCCTGGTTTCAACCTTTCAGTGCACAGTGGTGTGTTGTCTGGTTGCAATGCCTTTATAAGGCATTTTAAATGGCCTTTTTTTTTTTCCCCCTGAGACCAGTCAGGCACAAGTAGAGTAATGGGCCAGAACAGGATGACTAGACAGAGCAAAATACTGCTGGGAAGTAGACTGGAGAAATGAATTGTGGGAGGGGGACACACTGGCAGGAGGGAGGGGCCCTGGGACAAAGAATCTATGGAGGGCGGGAGGACTGGGGCTTTGGAAAATCAGAATCAATAACACGCAGATAGGCACCAGAGTCCTGGGCACTTCCTGGACCTGGGCCACTCTATTCACTCAGCTGGGATCTTCCTGTGTGGTCAAAGTCTGTCAGAAAATGAGAACCAGATACTCACATGAGATACTCATGGCCTCAAGGAGTAGGCCACTCTTACCTGTTCTTGTTTTCTAGTTCTGCAATAAGCTGTCTCTGTTGCTTGTTGGCATCGAAATTAAAGCTCACATCAGTGGGAGGGCGAGTCTGTAGCGGGGAGACAATTGGTTTTCCAGAGTCTGAGACAGACTTTCTTCAAAAACAGACTTTTCCTTGACATACCATGAGTATACCCATTTTCCATGTACAAACCAGCGAGTCATAGTATACTTAAACAACTGTACAACCAATGATGACAGGCTAGTTTTAGAACTTTTCTATTACCAAAATCTTCCCTCATGTCAGTCAGTCACAAATTGCTGCTCTTACCTCCAACTGGATGTTCTTCCTGACCAGTTTTGCCACTCTAGAAATTTCACCTAAATGGAATCATACTACAAGGAGTTTTTGGTGTGCCGTGAGTTTTTAAGATTCATCTCCAGGAGACAGTGGTTCTTCTGTTTTTATTGCTGAGTATTATCCATCATTTTTAGCTTCTAGTTATTACAAGTGAAGTTGCTTTGAATTTTCATTTAAGAGTTTTTGTTTTAATATTTTTATTTCTCTTGCATAAACACATTGGTCTAGAATTGCTGAGTTATATGGTTACTATACTTAACATTTGAAGAATTGTCAGACACTTCCTTTTACTTCTTCAAACTTTTTTTTCCCTATTTTCTAGGTGGTATTAGGGTTTGAACTCAGGGCCCTATGCTTGCAGGTAGGAGCTCTATTGCTTGATCCAAACTTTTCCAGTGGTTGGACCTCTTTGAATCCCAGTGATAATGCACGAGGGTTCCAATTCATATTTACTTGTTGTTGTAATTAGCCCACTGGGAGTTACGTTTAAAAAAAAAAAAAAAACAAATGTTGGGCTGGGAAGGTGTCTCAGTGGTAGAGTGCTTGCCTTGTGTACATGAGGCCCTGGGTTCAATTCCTCAGCACCACATAAGCAAAAAAGCTGGAAGTGGTGCTGTGACTCAAGTGGTAGAGTGCTAGCCTTGAGCTCAAGAGCTGAGGGGCAGTGCCCAGGCCCAGAGTTCAGGCTCCATGACCGACAAAACAAACAAACAAAAAAACAAACGTTATGTTCTATACAATCTAATTTTCTTATGTGTAATTCAGTGGTTTTAGTGCATTTATGAAGTTGTGAAAACATCACCGTTATCTAATTCCAGAATATTTTAGCTCCCTCCAAGAGACCCCATGCCGTTAGCAGTCCTACTCCAGCCTCATTTTCTATTCCTCGACATTCACCCTTCTACGCTGTCTCTGGGTAGTTGACTATTCTGTCCAGTACATATAATAAGTGGAATCATGCAATATGTAGCCTTAATAGCTAGTTTCTTTCACTTGGCAAAATGCTTTTAAGATTCATCCATGGTGTACCATGCATTAGTACTT